ATTAAAATGAAATTATGTTCTTAAGAAACCCATACAGAAATTTTTAGATTAAACTGTTTTAATATGAAAATGATAGAAAATAGAAAATAAAAAATGTGCTAGCTAACTGCACTACAGAAAACCTTTGTATATATTTTCTAAGTGACAAAGTCATATGAGTTGTTGAATGATACGACCGATGTTAGAGAAGAAATATTCTAAAATAGTTATATTAAAGACAGATTAAAATGTATAAATATTATACATAATAGTTTATAGTTAATAATATATAGTTTTTACTAGAAAATTGTAACAATAAATGTTATATACATTTTAATTAATTGGACATATGATTTGTTTCTTCTTATATATTTCCTTAATACTTTGAATGCAAATTCAATATTTGTAATAATTTTGTCAATATTGATAAATACGATGATTCAAGGGAATATTGTTATATTAAATGGAACAACTTATTCTAGCCATGTTTACTATAACTATTCATGAGAAGATCATATTTACTGGAGCTATATGTAAAAAGTCTAGTATTTTATTTAAAACTAATAAAAATGTTATGTTGTTGCGTGAAGCTACGTACAAAGGTGTAATCAATTACACCTTTGTTATCAATTGGTATAACTAGGATTCTGTGAAGGAGAGGAGTGGGCTAGATTGTACAAGAAAAAAATTTAGTTAGAATTTTTGCTGTGTATTATCTGTATATCATAAGATTAAGATGGAGAGGGAATCTATCCCCTATTTCTTCTCTGCACACGTCACTGCTTCTCGCAAAGATGTAACCAAATGATGGAAAGGTTTCATGGCACTCCCCTATACAATATGACAAACCATTAGCAAAGACATTTGGGATGTGTTTATTCAGGCAGTAATAATGCAATAAGAATTAAACTTTATAGAGTGATAGTTATTGAAACGATATTTAGTAGGAATAAAGGTTATTCTGCTATTTTGTTTTGCATGAAAATTTTATTTATTCGCGAGTGTTAAAGGTTCTTCTGATTTTATGTGTGTAGTTCTTTCTACTTTGAATGTAAAAAGTATCTCCCCCGTTTTCTGATTAGTAGCGGGATAGATCCCACAACACGTGTTTCATAGTTCTTCACATTTATATATATCTTATAAAAATTATTTTTTCCATACAGCAATAAAAACAAATTTCCTGTTTCAATAACTCAATGTATGACATTTTCAATTATGTATTCGTCAACGGCAACTAATTAAACTTAATTAGTGTGAGTATCTTAAGCATAACTTATTTCTTGATTGACATTACTTATTAACTCGTTACAGCTGTGGTTATATATATAATTAGCAACAGAAGCCACAACAATGTAAACATTTCAGAGTCAGTTTGTGGTATACATAAAATGAATATGTCAATTATTTAATTAAAACTGGAATATATCTTTTGACTTGCGGTAGCCATTTCAATATGTAAATTGCCATAATCCAAATCTATTATAATATTTGAGAGATCTCTCATTTGATACATTTACAGAATTGAAACAATTTTAACTATTGTAGAAAAATGTTAATGTTATTAAATCTTTTGTAACATTGAACTAATTTTAAATTAGTTTTCATTTAATAAGTTTAAAAAAAGTTTAAAGTTCAAATCGTGCGGTTATTTCACAGTTTTATGAGCATTTAAGTTAAAAACATAAAGAAAACTACCTTCACACTTCAACTCATGCATAATAATTGCCAACCAAACATTTTTCCACTGAACAGGACCACAAACACGCACACAACCGCAAACTGATGGAGAGCATCTACCGTAATACAGAAAATTGCATTCGAAGGTGTGAATAATGCATGAGCAGAGCAGCAGCAGTGACAGCAGCAACAGCAGCAGTAACAAGAGTAACAGCAACAACGTCAGCATCAGCAACAGCATCAGCAACAGCAACAGCACAGCAACATCATCGGCATCAGCTCCAACACAAACAAAAACTACAACTGAAGTGGCAGCGGCATTAAGGAGCAAAAGCATAAAAGTCCTTAAGTGTAGTAAAGCAGGATGTGCAATATATTTTCGATACACACGTGAAGCATAACTTAAACAATGGTTGTACCAGGCTCTGTTGTATAAGAGCGCTCGTATAAAAATTCAGTGATTCATTATAGTTTTATGCCACAAGTCATGTCCGTCTGTTTGACTTTTTCTTTAAAAGCCGCTTCAACTATTTTTCTTGTGCTTTGAATTCATCATTGTAAAAAAAATGTTTGTTTTTATTGAATAAAACGAAACTATAAGTTAACGAATTTTAAAAGCAAAGCAATCAAGTGGCTTCAGCAATAGATACTTAACCGATAGGAAACCGATTGAAAGGTATCGACCACAAATATTAGGAAATTAAATGTGACTTCCTTTAAAGCAGCTGGATGTAAAATAGAATGAAAAATGGTTAATTTGAGTGCAAAAAGTAATATCTTTTAATGTGATAGTGAAGATTAACAGTGAGATTTATTGCGGTAGACAGCAAACAACTATTTTGTTATTAGCAAATTGAATCAATATAATACATTAATTTCAAAAACT